AGCCCCATCTTAGAACGGCTATGAATCAGACTTGATATTTGGGGTGAGGGCAGGAGTATGCATTTTAAAAGCTCCCTAGGTGCTACTTGGACATGAAAGTCTGAGAATCACTAATAAAGTAACATAGGTATTCTCTCAATGCTGAGCCATCTCCCCAGGCTGACAAGTCTCCCAACCACTCCTGCTGAGAAACCTACCTTAGGGTGACCCTTCCAAATGCAGATAAGGCCAGAAAAACTGCTTATTCCATGGGACTGCCCACCGGAAGTCTAGCACCTGCTACACTCTTAAATGAGAGTGAACACTGAACAATTAAGACCACCACCCAAACAAGAAAGCTGTGTGCTGGAGGAGCACTAGGAAACAGACCTCCGCACACTCAGTATGGGGTGCCAAGCAGTGTCTTGGGGAGAACAATGAGACACAAAGTAAAGGCTTTAGGAACACACACCTTTGACTTTGCAAGTCTACTTCTAGGCTGGTTTGCACTTTACTAAAGGATAAAAAATGAACCTAACTAAATGGAGATAAGTACAATGTTCCTGATTGGGAACAGTGAGGATTAGAAAGATGCCCACTCTCCCTAGGTGCATCTATAAATGCAAGCAACCCAATAATAATCCCACTGAAATATTTAAAAACAGAACTTGAAAAACCAATTCTGAAGTTCATATAAAAAAAATGAGTGCTGCCCGGCCGGGCATGGCTCAGCAGTTGAACATCGACCTAGGATCCAGGAGATCACGGTCAGTCAGGTCGCATGCCCGGGTTGTGGGCTCAAACCCCAGCAGAGGGCATGCAGGAGGCAGTCAATCAATGACTCTCTCATCATTGATGTTCCCATCTCTCTCTCCCTCTCCCTTCCTCTCTCGGAAATCAATAAAGATATATTTAAAAACAACAACAAAAAAGAGTGCATGACAAAGAAATTTTTTAGGTAAATGGGAAAAACCCGCCAGCTACCAAATTATATCACAGAGCCATAGCAATTACAATGGAGTAGTTCTAGAACAGGTGAAAATAAAAGATCAATAAATCAGAAGAAAATCAAGAAACAATCCAGACCTTCCTTGTGTATGCGCGCACACCTGCACACGTGTGTTTGCAGGCACTGGGGTTTCTGGCCCACCTTGCAAACACACATGCACGTAATTCACACTCAAACTTTTTTCTCAGGCATGTGTTTTTGTGCATTTTGTTTGTATGTATTTTTGCACATGCTTTTCTGTACAAAATAAGAGTATTTCCTTAAGGTATATTCCTAAAAGTGAATCTGGAGTCAAAAGGTATGCACATTTAAAAATATGATAGAATGACAGATGCTGCCAACATTCTAACCAGAACCAGTTTGTTTTCCCAACCCTCACTGGCACTGAACAGGACTGCTCTTTTTAGTGTTTGACATTTGTGACTTGCCTTTTTATGCCCTTTGCTCAGTTTTCTGTCAAGTCACTCACTGCTTATTACCTTATAGAAGGCCTCTATTTTGAATATGAGCTCACTTTATGCTGTAGGTACTTTCTCCCCATTTGTTATTATTCTCAACTTTCCTCGCAGCATCATTTCCCATACAAAAACTTAAATATTTCATATGGTCAGATCTATCAATCTCCTGTGGATCCTGGTGCAGTGACTGACTTAGGAAGCCCTGACCAAGATATACTTGTTTCCTGTGCACAGACTATAGACAACTGTAACAGCAAGAGAAGGGGCTACACCCGAAGTGTGCTCTCAACAAGGCAGGGTGGTTGGGAGGACAGCAGTTGTGGGGCTGGTCAAGGCACCGAGCATTTTAGGGCATTTTAGGAGGGCACCCAAGATGAATAAGGGTGGGAGACAACACAAACAGGGAAATGGACATCTGTCAAATAGTATCTCATACATACCACTTATGACTTTTTTGCATTCCATCAGGAGCCTTAAAAACTGAGCAAGCCTCAAATATAAGGCATCTCATAACCATAAATATGTGAAGGAGTAGTATCTGAACTTTACTGAGCAGCAGAAACACAGAAATTAAACTGGTCATTTAAAATCTCCTGGCAAACAAAGTAAGAAGCAAAGCTGGGGACAGACCCTCCCAACTTCCAGATCTGTGCTCAACAGGCTTCACCTTTCTAGTCACAAGGGCACTCCCACATGGCCCTTAGGGACTATAGGTTCAAGTGAAACGCACTCGTCACACCCTGGCCACCAAAGCGAACAGCTCAAAGCAACACTCTGCCAGTCTCTCTGCTCTTCTCACCCATAAAGAACTAGAGACCACCACCCAGAAGGCAGGCTTGAAAAACAGCGATTTAGACAAAAAAAACAAAGCATATAATCCTTTTCCTGCCCCACCACTCTATTTAAACTAAAATCAAGAATAGCAACTGACCCGGCAGGGCGCGGCTCAGAGGTTGAGCGTCAACCTAGGATCCAGGTGATCGGGGTTCGATTCCTGGTCAAGGCACATGCCTAGGTTGCAAGTTCGATCCCCAGTCGGGGGCATGCAGGAGGCAGCCAGTCGATGACCCTCTCATCATTGATGTTTCTATCTCTCTCTCCCTCTCCTTTCCTCTCTCTGAAATCAATGAAGATAGCCCAGCCAGGCATGGCTCAGCGGTTGAGTGTTGACCTAGGATCCAGGAGATCGGGGTTCAATTCCTGGTCAGGGCACATGACCTGGTTGTGGGCTTGATCAATGACTCTCTCATCATTGATGTTTCTATCTCTCTCTCTCTCTCTCCCTCCCTCCCTCTTCTTTCCTCTCTCTGAAATCAATAAAGATGTATTTAAAAAAAAAAGAAATCAATGAAGATATATTAAAAAAAAAAAATAGCAACTGAATTTTATCTTTGTAGTTTCACATTAGTCTTTAATAGGTTCTACACTATGCCTTCAAAAAATATTCTCATGCCCTAGCTGGTATAGCTCAATGGTTAGTTAGAGCATTGGCCTACGTACTGAAGGGTCCCGGGTTAGATTCCAGCCAAGGGCACGTGCCTCAGTTGCAGGCTTGACCCCCGGCCCTGGTTGGGGCTCATGAGGGAAGCAAGCAATTGACGTGTCTCTCTCACATTGATGTTTCTCTCTCTCTCCCCATCCACTCTCTCTGAAAAGCAATGGAAAAAATATCCCCGGGTGTTATAATGAGCAAGTACTCAGGTAATGAGAGAGATGTTTATCACAGACAATTTCTGATTTAGGACAAATGCCTCAAATGCTGCATAAGCATAATTGAGCCAACAGCATCAGAAGGCAGCTGGAATCGTGTGCTAAGCCGAGGGCAGCCATCTCTGGCTGGGTAGGGGACAGTAGCCACAGCGAGCTGTTCAAAGGGCACTACTCAAGTGGCCACACATCAACAGTGCCTCCCTGCTTCTTTGGAACAAACACCCACAATACATGTTATAGAACCAGAAAAAGCTGAAGGACACAAGAAAGTGTGCATGTCATAAAATACCTCAGAGTATCCCCTACAGGACCACCCCACAGATGTGCCATCATCAACACTAGGCCTAGCCGAGTAGCAATAAGACGTGTACATATCCTTTCATGGAGAGGTTTATTGTTCCTCATCCATAAATTTGGAAATATAGCAACCAAAGCTGATAAAAATGCTATGAAAATAACAATAATCATCACCAACAATGAACAAACAAGCAAATATAATTGGGTTTTGAAAAAAATAATTGATGCAAAACCAGACAACACAGACTGCATACTCTGGGCCTAAATACTTTTTAAATTAAGGGGAAAATGACTAAGCTTCAATATACACATAATGAAATCAATTTTAATATGAAAATAATTTCCTGACTGCTGTGCCTACTGAGATAATGAAGCTTTCCCAAAGCAAGTAAGAGAAAGGGAAGTGAAGTCAGTAATTGGCAACGCACACCAGGCTCTTCTGGTTCCGATTTTATTCAGATTGCCACTAGGCCCTTCTCCAGCAGGTTAGCCCGGTTTGGGCACTCTACTTACACTTTGCACTTGCACAAAGGTGTCTTTACATAGTTAGTTCCACTCCAGGCCTGAAGCCAATCAGATCAGTTCTCCACAGCCAGGCACTGTGGTCTCCTAAGAGGCTCATCATCAAACAGCCAAGCACACCCTCCAGGGAGGGATGCTTCCCTTCAATGAAAAGTCCCAGGACCTGAAAACACTTTTCACCACCACTGAATTCCGCAGTGCAGGTGCCTGCTCCACTGAAGTGAAGAAACTCTGGTTTGCTACTTTAGCAGTAGAGAGGGGCACACTGAAACATGGCACACAGCCCAGCAAGCAGGCGTGCACACCAGGAGAATGAAGCCAACTAACTCCTTCAATCTGTCACTCTCCTAGGTTTTTTCTCATTAATAATTTATATGCAGACATAATGTGTACAAATTATGTCTTCACACAGAGAGTCAGGAATACAGCACTGACCACTGACACTAGTGGTGAAGTGCAGTGGTAAATGTGACAACCACATACCAACATCACTGAAAGATGCAGAAATCAGGCTCCAATAATGGCTGAGCCTAGTTTATTGAAGAGCAATATAAAGGCTTTCCTGTTCATCTTACTGGCTCCACTGTTTCTATGTCAACTAGACCTGGAAAGAGCACTCCCTTTTAGTAAATGCCACAGCTCCATTCCAGCAAGCTGAAACCCAGGGCACGTTTAAGGAGATAAACAGATGGCCCAGGAGAACTGCATTAAAATATCATCAGTGTAATGCAGAGAAGGGAGGAACAAGACAATAAGCCCGGATGCGGGGCTGCTCCCAGCGACCCTGGCAACACCTTCAACAAAGCCAGGTGTCAGGCAGCAGTGGCCAGGCTAGGCTTCTCTGTGAAGGATGCAGAGAAAACTCAAGCTCTTTCCTTACTGCAGTTACCAGTGAAGCTGGGCCCTCAGGGCTCTGCAATCCGTGCTCTTCAAAGCCATGGAATTCTACAATATCTGATTCCATCACTGTGAACCAAGCATGCTGGCATTGACAGGAGCTGGGAGCTCATCACCCAGTGCCTTACCTGACTTGCTCCCAGGTCTTGGTGGCCAAATGCAGAACCCAGAGATCCTTGTAGTGGTAAAACTGCTCTCCATCGGGAGAAGCAAACTCCCCCCCAAAGATCCACAGCTGCCCGCCACCTTGAGGCACCACCACAGCCTGTGAAAAGAAAGGTGACAGGTAAAGGCAAAGCCGAACAGCTCTTGGCCAGCTCCATGGGTGCAGCCCAGCGTCTGCACTATCCACCAGAATACATGGTAGTCTTGGCCAGCACCCACAATCCCGCCTTGAGGGAAAAATTCCTGGAAAATCCCTCACCAACAAATCCTCCTAAGTCAAAATCTAATAAATTTTCAGGCATTCCTAGATTATGCCTGAAATTAACATCCACTTATATTTAGACAACCCCACATCCCATCAGAATGGACACAATTAGAGTTAGTGTGTACTCTGGTTGCTGTAACAATGCAGTGAGGAGTCGGTCGCTAACTTTAAGGTGGCAAATGTGGCATTATCTGCCCAGCAAAAAAGGATGAGTCCTAAGCCGGAGCTTACCACAGGGGACAGAAAATCTGGCAAGCTTTTGATCTCTTCAATACTGATGCAACAGGGACTACTAATGTTAAGGAACTTAAGGTGGCAATGAGGACACTGGGCTTTGAATCCAAGAAAGAAGAGATTAAGAAAATGATAGGTGAAACTGATATGGAAGGGACAGAAAAAATGAATTCCAATGACTTTTTTACTGTGATGACTCAGAAAATGTCAAGAAAGATACCAAAGAAGAAATCCTGAAAGCTTTCAAGCTCTTCGATGATGAAGAAACTGGGACATTATCATTCAACAATCTCACACGCACTCAAGGAGTTGGGCAAGAACCTCACTGATGAGGAGCTGCAGGAAATGACTGAAGAAGCTGATCGAGATGGAGATGGAGAAGTTAATGAGCAAGAGTCCCTGCGTATCATGAAAAAGACCAGACTTTATTAAGATTATTCTCCTTTCCTACTGCAAGCACACATAACTAGGTTCAGTGTGAAATCTGATTTTTGAAACAAACAGTTTTTCCCCCAACTAACCTCCCTGTGTAACTTTAGTAACAACCTCACATCTATTTTAGATTTTTGCAAGTGTTCACAATAAAGTTCTTTGTAAGATGAAAAAACAATAACACAAGAATGGACACAATTATGTCAAAAGTTAACATCAGTTATAACACAAACTGCGTAGTATTTTCCTTTTATTAAATACCTTTAATAAAGCTGTTTACCGACCCTCATTAATCCCTTTCCTAACTATTAAGCAATGTACACCTAAAACCACACTCATGAATAAAACACATAATACGCAATATTACATGTAATTACAAGTGTTATTAACACTTATTTTTTTAAAGACTTAAGCATAACAGGAAGGCACAGAGAAGCAGTAAGGACAATGTCCTTTGTACCACACCTGCAGAAAGCTCTCACACAAGAGGACAGAGTGGCACATAGCCACGCCAACCCTGCACTGTACCACGTCAAACTTTCAAGAACCACACATATATATTTCAAGGTATTACTGGGGTTGGTGGAATGTCAAAGTTTTCACAGAACAAATGGTCCACAGGCCAAACATTCCATAAATTAATGTGTTGGTCTGAGTGGTAAAGCAGCTGAGAACAGGAACTCCAGGGCTCACATCCCATGAGAATTACACTTCACATTCCCAAGGTTACTAACTCAACAAAAATGAAGCGAGAACACCCAACAACCCAGACCCTGCCTTAGTATCAGAAATGCAAGGATGAAAACACAGAAGTTTGTTCAGGCCATCTTGGTGTTTTAGAGAACCTAACACTTGAGTTTCCCATCACCCCAGTGAAAGCTCTATCTCCATGGGGCAAGGGTAACATTCCAGACTCTAGACTGGGATTGCCATGCTAGATCCCCGCCAGAGGAGAAAAGCAAGTCAAAGTGTGTGATTAAAAATGCCTTTCCAGAAGAGGAAAATATTAGGTGAAGGCAGCAATTTTCAACTGGTGTGCCGCAAGAGGAACACACACAGGTGTGCTGCAAGAATTTTTAAAAAACATGCAATACGTGACTAGTCAGGGGCACTGGCCTCTTTTGCCTTAGACTGTCAAATTTAAAAAATGACAACAGCCAACACAACAATAGCCATCTGGTGTGAATGAATCAAAATTATACTTTTTTTGTCAGATCGACAAAAAATATATTTTTTGGTGTGCTGCAGAATTTTAGTAATTAGTTTATATATGCCATGAAATGAAAAAGGTTGAAAATTGCTGGGTAAGGGAATGTATTTCAGGTAAGAGTGGATCCTATTTTACATAAAATAACCTTTACAGATGCAAATACAAGAAATACAGATTTTGAGAATTTTAAAGGCAATTCATACACTACCTAGTCCAGAGTTTTTAAGCTTTCGGACTGGATTTTGTCAAAGATTGTTGAAGTGAAAACTAAAAGGTAACACACGAGACTGGGAACCCTCCTGAGAACTCCAGGTCGGCGTCCTTCCCACCCGCAGACACGTAGACTCCAAGCTCCGCCTGCCCTGCCCACTCTCCTCAGGGCCTGCCGCCCCAGTGGTTTTGCTGAAGACCCAGGACACAAGAGGCCCCGACAAAACCACTCAAAATGGCCCGGCTCTCCAAGCCACACACCCATTGGCTAGCCAGTGGCTGAGAGAGCCCGCCCTCCACTGAGAAGTTCAGGGGTGTGCCACCTGACGGACAGTAGTTTCAAAGACAGCCATGATGTGGCTGGTTTTGCGGTTAGCTGACTTATAAACTGCATATCTGAGGGGACAGACTTCACAAAAACTTCTCCTGCAAGCGCCCCACACATGTGGAATATAACACTCAGTTGATACCTGGCACAGAGCGGGCACCAGGCAAGCCCACCCTGGGAGTCACTAGCCACAGGGTTCAGGCAGTGAAGCAGAAAATGCGACCATATCCTTCACACCAAGGGCGTGTGGACAGGAAACAGCCAAGAAGCCTCCTTGCCAGGGAGCTCTGAAATGGTGGCCACAACAGCAAGCACAGTGTGGCAAGGGAGACCTGGGTCTGGTGCTACTGGGCACCAGAACACTCTTAGGCATTCCATGTGAATGCCTACTTGCCCTCACATGCCTCCACAGAAAAGTTCACACCGGGAGGATCAGACGGCGATTCTCAGGAGCTCCACTCCAGGCACCTAGAGCACCTGCTGCAGTTTTGTGTGCACTGTCTCAGCACAAATGACAGATCTAAAGAGGGACAAGCCAGTTTCCTANATGCCATGAAATGAAAAAGGTTGAAAATTGCTGGGTAAGGGAATGTATTTCAGGTAAGAGTGGATCCTATTTTACATAAAATAACCTTTACAGATGCAAATACAAGAAATACAGATTTTGAGAATTTTAAAGGCAATTCATACACTACCTAGTCCAGAGTTTTTAAGCTTTCGGACTGGATTTTGTCAAAGATTGTTGAAGTGAAAACTAAAAGGTAACACACGAGACTGGGAACCCTCCTGAGAACTCCAGGTCGGCGTCCTTCCCACCCGCAGACACGTAGACTCCAAGCTCCGCCTGCCCTGCCCACTCTCCTCAGGGCCTGCCGCCCCAGTGGTTTTGCTGAAGACCCAGGACACAAGAGGCCCCGACAAAACCACTCAAAATGGCCCGGCTCTCCAAGCCACACACCCATTGGCTAGCCAGTGGCTGAGAGAGCCCGCCCTCCACTGAGAAGTTCAGGGGTGTGCCACCTGACGGACAGTAGTTTCAAAGACAGCCATGATGTGGCTGGTTTTGCGGTTAGCTGACTTATAAACTGCATATCTGAGGGGACAGACTTCACAAAAACTTCTCCTGCAAGCGCCCCACACATGTGGAATATAACACTCAGTTGATACCTGGCACAGAGCGGGCACCAGGCAAGCCCACCCTGGGAGTCACTAGCCACAGGGTTCAGGCAGTGAAGCAGAAAATGCGACCATATCCTTCACACCAAGGGCGTGTGGACAGGAAACAGCCAAGAAGCCTCCTTGCCAGGGAGCTCTGAAATGGTGGCCACAACAGCAAGCACAGTGTGGCAAGGGAGACCTGGGTCTGGTGCTACTGGGCACCAGAACACTCTTAGGCATTCCATGTGAATGCCTACTTGCCCTCACATGCCTCCACAGAAAAGTTCACACCGGGAGGATCAGACGGCGATTCTCAGGAGCTCCACTCCAGGCACCTAGAGCACCTGCTGCAGTTTTGTGTGCACTGTCTCAGCACAAATGACAGATCTAAAGAGGGACAAGCCAGTTTCCTATCACTCTAAAACTGAGGTGGGGAACCTTTTTTCTGCCAAGGGCCATGTGGATATTTATAACATCAATCGTAGGCCATACAAAATTATCAACTTAAAAATTTGCTATGGCCCGGCCAGCATGGCTAAGCGGCTGAGCATTGACTGATGATCCAGGAGATTGCAGTTCGATTTCCCGGTCAGGGCACATGCCCGGGTTGCTGGCTCAATTCCCAGGGAGCATGCAGGAGGCAACTAATCAATGGCTCTCATCATTGATGTTTCTCTCTCTCACTCCCTTCCTCTCTCTGAAATAAAAAAATTTTTTTAATTAGCTATGAAAAAAGCCCCTAGATTTATTGAATTTTGAGTCCCCCCTGCAGTTGCCTTGGCAGGGCCAGACCAAATGATTCTGTGGGCCAGATACAGCCCGCCGGCTGGATGTTCCCCACCTCTGCTCTAAAACCTCAGTAGTTTCTATAAGAAAGAAACTGATCGTTTCAAATCTTTAAAGCAGGTATGATTATTAGCCCAGGCCCAAATCTAACATATTTTTTCAGTTTAATGAAGTTAGGTAATACATTCATGCTATGTAATACAATGGAGTTTTGAAACATAATAATACAGAAGGCTATTTAATGGCATGAAATAATACTATAAATAATGCATCAACTGGGAAAACCAATATACAAAAGATATATACATATATGTGTGTTTGTATGCATATGCCAACTAATGTGAAATATAGATGTGAAGAAATATAAATATGCAGAGAAAAAAATGAAAAATGTAAATGAGCAGCTCTAGGATGATGGAAAATGAACTTACTTTTTTTATTCTTTCACTTTTTTTTTTTACAATGAATGTTACATAC